TTGCTACTGTTTAATATGAATTGCCGTATTCATGATGCATTGCTAAAGAAGTGTAAAGACAGTCGAATCATTTTTTTCCAAAAAAAGCAAATAAATTTTATCATAATATTCTTAGTTGTAGATTTACTTACAATAATACATTTTGACTGCTCTCGCGTCCATGAATTACAAATTTTGCTTCCAAAATTTAATTTATATGCTTCTGAAAATTAGGCGAGGGCATTAAGGGCAGTTTTCCACTTGGCGGAATTTTTCGACCGAAGAAGTCTTATTTTCTTTTCAATTGCGAGAATTCAGCCATAGCGGATTCCCGTAACCGGTCAGAATTGAAAAGAAAATCGAGTGGAAAATTTCGTTTGATCGAAAAATTTCGCCTAGTGGAAAACCGCCTTAAGGTGGCTCCCTACAATTTTTTAAAATATTGAAAACATGTGGTTTCGATTTAAAATTTTGGCACGAGATTTCTCGCTAAGGAAAAGAAATTTCCCAGATATATTTACCAACATTCTAACAGTCAGAAATTGCCCATAAGCATGACGTCATGACCGTTGTTATGGTAACAATGGCGATTCAATATGGCCGACATTTTACCTATTCACGCATTTTACTCGAAAACAAGTTCGCTTTCCCCCCATTTTTTATTTTATAAAAAGTTTTCTTACAAAAAAATGGAAAATTTGAACCAGTTAAAAAAAATTCTATACAGCCAATATTATTGAAAATTAAAAAACGTGATTTTTCGTTATAGAATTTTTTTGGCTGTATAGATTTTTTTTAAACTTGCTCAAATTTCCCATTTTTTTGTAAGAAAACTTTTTATAAAATAAAAAATTGAGGTAACCGAACTTGTTTTCGAGTAAAATGCGTGAAAAGGTAAAATGACGGCCATATTGAATCGCAATTGTTACCATAACAACGGTAATGACGTGATACTCAAAGACAGTTTTCGACTGTTACAATGTTGGTTAATATATCTGGAAAATTTCATCAAAAATTTCAATCTAAATCATTAGTTTTCAATATTCTTAAAAGTGTAGGGAGCCACCTTAAGGCCGACACACATTGGACGCGATTCTATAATGCGACGCGAATTTTCCATTTTCCGAAGCAAATAAATTCAGGTCTGAAAGAACATTTTTAGAGATATGGTACCAGACCAGTCGAGTTGTACTATTATTCAGTAATTATACCATGAATATCGCAACATTGTCAAAATTAGAAAACTTTGAAAACAGAAAAATTCGTGACAAATCCGGTGTGTGTCGGCCTTCAAAGGTGCATATTATGCTCACTTGGTAATGTAAAGAAATGTGTTTTTTACATTTGAACTGCTGTGCTGCATATGCTGCACATCCACGACAAAATTGGTTTCCTATAGTTAGAAATTTATTTGACCTGAAGTTCGTGTCTTTAAAAATGCGAAATTTGAGGATTTTACCGCTGTCCGACAATCTTCTCAGTCACCTGCCACGAGCTTAAATTACATATAACCGCAGGACAAACCCCCTATTAAAGGCGTCTTTTCGATCAAAGATTACTCACGTTTTACAACCAAAGCGTTCACTGTTTACAACCATAACACGTGTGTGTTTAAAGTGCAATATGGCAAATTTTTGCAATGCATTATTGATCTTCCTGTATAAATTATATGCAATTTATGCTCGTGTAATGTCTGCATTCTTAATTGAGGGAAAGTTGTTTGATCAACGACTGAAATCGATCAATCGAAATGTATGCTTTTCATTTTGAGAGCTTGACTGAAGCGAATTACATTACCGATCACGATTGCCATCCAATCAATATGTTATATGCTGTTCACTCTATCGTGGATCTGTACAGGCATAGAAATAGTTTCACACCGCGAATGCTCAAATTGCTCTTGGTCTTAGAAAGTTGGGTTAGCAATCGGCCTTAAGAACGTTGCTTATTAAGGAAAGTTTTAAGTGAAAATCCCCCAACCAATTTAATTAATTTTAAACATCAGTAACTTTGTTGCACGTTTTAAACCGACTTTATTATAATAAACCTTTATAATAATATAAACCTTTATAATATCGATATATATAAGTTTGCTATATAGTATCTATTTTAACCGCCAGAAAGTGTTCAGCACCTTAATGGGTTCTCTTCTTACCATTTTCTTTGTCCAGAAAAATATTACTGAGTTAAGGGTGCAATTTAAAATGCTAAGGGTAATGACCCAGTTCTGAATTACCTGATATTTAATTCTCTTCACGTCAAGTGTGAGGAAAAATACGAGAATAGTTGGCAGGAAAAAAAGGATAAAATGACACACAACGACAAGGAAGCAAGACCTGGCTTGCTTGATTTCTTGGAAGAAGAGTTTTCTCGTTACGTTTCCACCATTTCCATTGTCGTGTATTTTGTTTTGTGGATGAGTCACTCTTCTGACGACCAAGTAAATTCTCGTGTAGGCGGAAGAAATTAAAATAAGCATCAGCGTTGCGAAAACCACAATCAACAATTCAAGCAGTTTGTTCTTTAAAACGGAGACGATGGAAATAAACACGATGGCACACGGAGCCAAACATGCATAGATTAGTATTCTGTTATTCGTTACTTTACTGCTGTAAGCAAAAGGGTGAAGTACCGCGACGTATCTATCAAATGTCATACCAAGTAATGTGAAGCTCGACTCGGCGATTGGAATAAGAGATAGCCTGTGGGTAAGAATTCCTACATAACAGTTTGAAATATCTGCCATTCCGGCGGAAAGGTAAACAAGAAATAATGGGGTTCCTAAAACACCAACCGCTAAATCAGCTGCCGATTGCACTAGAATGATGAAATAGCAAGGCTTACTGTAAAGTTGAGATGATCTGAAAATCGTCGCTATTGAAAGAGCATTTATTACAATCGTGGTAATTATTAACATGCTGTTTGCCGCAATGACAGTCACTTGATTCACATAATGCGCTGGAGACGGAATTTTTTTTATCAAGATATCTGATATTCCAAAGAATTGACACGAAATGATTCCTTCTTCCTCCGATTGATTCATCATGGATTAAGAGCCAAGAGTTAAAACCAATCCTTATCAAACTAACTTATTGAATACCATGCCATTGGTATTGCTGCTAAATTTTCAGGGCATAGAACCTTGATATCTATCTAACGCTTTTTAATAACCACATTTCCGTTATTATGTAACATTAGTTTTTATATGTTTGCACTGTGTGTTTGCATTGCTATATAAGTACTATAAAAGTAAAATGACATGCAGTGTAAATAAAAAAAAAATGACAGACATTATAAAGTCCAGTGTTCTCTAAATCGGGATCATTATCAGCTTCAAACAAATAAGTAAAATAGATGAGAAAAGATGCATTTTCATATATATTTTAAGCACTTGTACTTGTAAATGCGCATTATTATCATTCAGTAATGCGTTGTTTACATTTTGAACTGCCATATTCTTTAATTATGACAAACTGTCTGCACATCTAGCACAAAATTGGTTTTACATGGCTCTAAATTAATGATAAATTGAGTTCGTGTCTAGAAGTAGAAATGTCCGATACATACGAAATTTAAGCAATTTCTGAATGGCGGGAGTGGAAGAGCAGAACCGATACGCACATATATATGCCTTAGTGAGCATTGCCTTTTAAGCCTGGTTTCCATTTAATCGAAATTGCATGTCGTGAAATTTCGCCGATGCGATATAGTCCGGATGTAATTTTGTCTTTATTTCTGTATTCGAATCGGTAATTGTTCCCAGCACACACACACAGAAATGTTCTATATCACATCAGCCACCTTGACATATATGCATGTTCACGACTAAAGGTGAACCAGGTAGCTATAACTGTTACCAAATGCAAAGAGGTAGGTATTTTTTTTGCCAACAATGTCATTTTAAAGTTCATATATTTTAAAGTTCATTTCAACGTTCGTATATTTATTTATATACAGTACATTTTTATATATGAAGGCTAGCTCTTTTGCCGTATTACTGGTTTCAAGTATCGCCTTTACGGATATTGCCACAATTTTTCAATATTTGCTCTGCGCGCAGGTGTGAGAAATGTATATGCATGTAAACACGCTTTGGATGCGTGCTTTATTACCCCTTAGAATAAAACTGCTTTCATAAAGTATCACAAATTATTATTATACTATTTCAACTTTAATGACAATTTAAAATCAAAGATACGTTTATCAGGAATTTCTGGGTAGACAATCTAACCAATACATGTCCGCTAGTACAAATTTGAAACTCGGGCAAAAATGATAGCGATAATACATGCTATAAATGTGTGTCATGCAGGTGCAAACGAAAAGTAATATACCCGCGGGTGCCCCTCCAAAAATATTCCGTTTTTATTGATAATAACTTTTTATCCTGTCAAGCCATTAGACTATGAAATAAATTTTATTAGATAGAGAGAATGATTTTGGTATATTACAATTGTATATTTTACAGAGATATTAGCGTGCCAATTAAATAGCAGCAAATAATGAGAGAAGCATTCCTATTGCTCGCATTTAAGAAACATTTGGTCATTGTCCTGACTTATATTTCAATAAACTGTCGTGAAAATTTTTAGTTGTATAGCATAATGCAACAGTTTGTTTAGTACCTGTCTGCTGTTAATAGGGCCTGCTTCAGTTGAGCAAAGCTTAATTCATTAATATTTTTATACAGCGTTAAGCGTATTTTGCATATTATTTTAGAGACATAATGTAATAATTTATATCCATGAAATTTTTTTAAATAATACAATTATAAGTCTATAACGTATCAAAATTTAAGTTAGTATTTCCTCTAACTAATGAAAGTTGTTTCGTTTCGATAACTTTCCTTGATAAGAAGCTATTTTTGTTTTAACTAAGCTAAAACAAACAAAAAATTTCAAAAAATGTAAACTATAATAGCTTACTGTTCAACGTCACAAAAACGTTTTCTTCCGCCCCATGCAATCATCATCATACGGGGTATTACGTCATTGCGCTAATAACCATGTTCCTATCCGTAGGTCAGCGTTAGCTACCATGAAAATCTTTCTGATTCGAAGCCAAAGTTTAGAACTATCCGAGTTTCTTGATACCGAAGAAATTTGGAGTTTGTTTGACGATGTTGAAACCTTCCCAGAAGCCGTGTGTGGCGTTGCTAGGTATGTGAATTTGATCTCTTTAATGTAACCTGGATCACGCTTTTTACCTATAGTTATAAGGTGCACCTTTAGGCCCATTATGTCACAATATACAATTTTGGGAATAATCTTACCTGGGACTTTCAAAATAATTTTTTTAGAGGTATATGTAAGTCCCAAGCAAACCATGTTCGCGAACTGATAAACACATTCACACCAGTAATGTCAAGTGTTTATGATAATCAAAGAGTTGTGGCCACTGCTTTCTTCTCAGAGGTTAGTAATTCTTGCATTTTAAATAAACGACAATTCGAGCACTTTCTTGGAAAAGACAAGTCATTTCACTATATTGTAAACTGTAAAGGGACCTCATCTGTATTGTCTTTACCTGATGAGCCTTTTCTACTTCATGTATCTATATCCCTCTGATATGTTCCATGGTCTGTTTTTGTCTACAAGTTAATGAGTATACTGTATATCGTACGACATCTGCATGTCCACATGCACAGTTTAAATATTCTCATTAATATTTTTAGTTGATAGATTGTCAGTGTGGTGGGGAACTGGAACTTGTAGACATGATTGTCGCCAATATGATGGGGCGATTGGTTGACAGTGACCACGTGGTTCGAAAGTATTGTATCCGAGGTTTGGGAAATGTTGGCAATACACATCAGACTTTGGTAAGTTTCACACATTAAATCGACTACATTTAATACAGTGTTTGTTCGCATCGCTTAACCTAAAATTACAAAGAGTTTAGCAAATACATGATGGAATTTAATTCTAACAATAAAACAACCATTTAGGTGCAGAAACATTCAACAACAATTTTATCTGCAATGATGACGGGAATGGACGATCGTGACGACCCGGAATGCGATTTAACCCTCGAAGCAATGGCCGGATTATCAAAGATTTTGGCCGTTGTTGATGAGAATAATGTTCGCCATATCTTTATTAACATTTGTCTACGTATCAGACCGTGTTTCGTCAAGGTAGGGTTGCACGTAGTGAAACATCACACGAACATACACTGACGAAGTGTGATCAAATGTCATTTTTAATCATATGCAAACACACAGGTTTTTGCGATAGCGTACGAACCTCTGATATAGAACGCTTTCAAACTGATGTTTCGCGATATTCTGCATAATTTGTTCACTAAAATATGAAATAAACTCTCTCAAGACTACTGGTCAATGGTATTCTTCGTAGGCCTGCACGAAAATTTTGAACGTAAAATACTTTTCTAGTATTTCCTAAATCTACCATTTCTCAACAAAATCCTGTTGTGATTCTTACCACTTTTATTAACTGGGGGAAATAGTGCCATACCTCGAACTAAATATAGCAGTACAATATACCTAATACCCTCTGTGTCTTAAATAATTGTTACCAACACCAAGGGGGGATTTCGTTTTAGACCAATCAGCAAATGTGTTTACATTTTCACTAACCCAATTAGAATGCAAAAATCTCGATAAAGGAACATTATATTTACCATTCTACATGAAGTATTAAAAATTTAGGCATTTTGATTGGCTTTGCCTAAAAAATGTTAACAAATTTGTTGATTAGTTTTAAACGAAATTCCTCCTTGTTGTTTCCAATTCAAATTTTGTCAACGTGAGTGTAATATTAATGAAGCGCCCAGTTGTGTAGCGATGATAATATTTTAGTATTGCGAATTCTATTAAAACAAATGTACTTTGTTAGGACAAACCAGCAGTTCGTGCAGAAGCATTTACTTTATTTGGAAATCTATCAAGATTCGGTGATGGTCCATCGAAGGGTCCTTTCTTGGAGCAAATCCACGCGAACTTCGTCAGTTTGTTGATACACATGAATGAAGAACAGGAAGTAACTAAGGTTTGGCTTTGTCGATTTTTTCTTCCTATAAACAATTAAATGTCTCTAAAGATTCCATGACCATGTTCTCAAACAGCATACGGTCACGTTTTCGGACATTTTTATTTGTGTTCATATGACATGGTTTTGAATTATACCTCCCTGTAGGCATGTAAATGTGCATTACGTAAGCTGTCGCCTCTTATGGGCTCCGAAGCTATCAGTGATATGTTCCAAAAGCATCTCATAGAAAACGCGAATCTTCATTATGGAGAGTTTATGAAGGATTTGTCAAGACTTATTGTAAGTAAAGACCATCAAGCCATGTTCCATATATAGTGGGGGAGGTTCTGCAGTGTGTATCATGCCATTTAAGTTTATGTACTAATTTACTTTCGCAGATAAAAGATTTTAGTGATAAAGTCGACTTTTACATCATGACTTGCGTGACATTTTTTAAGAGCACTCGTTCGGAGGTGCAATGTAACGCTGCAATATTTCTGGGTAAGTAATAAACACGACATAATAAGACAATTGCTGGTTTGATACTCTGCCTATAGACCGAGTTTTTGGTTGTCACACTGTAGTTGTTTATACCGTATGTGCATGGTTGCATGAAGTTATGTATATATAGCCTAAGGCCATAAATCGCTAGTATGATACTCGCTCTAATGGTTTGTTACGTCTCATGTTTCAAACGTCGAACTTTGAATGTGCCGAATCAAATGCAAATGACGTAAACAAAGACTTTGGCTCATCAACATTAGGTGCGGCACATGAAAAGTTCGACGTCTGAAACGGGCCTAACACAGCAGTCATCGCTAAAAAAATAAATTGCATTATTTAGGATTTCTTCTTGGAAATCTCCCTGAAAATAAACGCTTGACAATTTCGAAAGAGTACGTTTGTGGTGGTGAGTATCAGTTTCACAATAGACCTTCTTGGTTATTACGTCACAACACTATCGTTTTTAATTTAGAACCACCTTAATCGAGAGAGATTTCAAGTTTTACTCTCACAAGCTATGTGGAAAGATGCAAAACATGCTTCTTCAACCCATGCACGAGTTTTTCATTTTGACAAACAAGTGTGAAAAAAACCATAGCACAAGAACGAGGCTGGAAGCCTCGCACTAGTGTTACGATCATATTTCCATATTTATTGGTCAAAATTAAAAATTCTTTTTCATGCGTGTTTTGAAGAAGGATGTTTTGCATCTTTGCACATGGCTCGTGAGAGTGAATTTTAAATCTATTTAAGGTGGTTCTAAATTTATAACGATAATGTTGTGACGTAATTATCGAAAGGGTCTATTACTGAAAGATTAGTGTCACACCAGAATATTGCGGGCTCAACATCATTTGCTTAGCGGTATTATATAGGCAGGGTACTAACTACAGATTATATTTAGGAAAGATTTACAATCCATAAACTATTTTTAACATCCTCTGGTTTCATTTCTTTCGTTTGCTGCTGTAATGCTGTGTTAATACTAAGCACCATATTCATGACATTATTAAAGCGGATATTTTTATCAACATATTTTTATTAGCGAGTGTGAGGTTTAAGGATAAAATCTGCAAATATTTTGTTAAAACGTTACTCATACAAACCACCGTTGGTAAGTCATTGATGTCCTATTTCAATGATATTATAGACACGATTAATCGATTTAATCGTTTTTTTCACTAAGATTAATCCATTATGATATAAACCGATAGAAGAAGCTCTATAAATTAAGATATAAGTTTATTTGGATTCTTGCGTAGAATTTTAATAAAATGGTGGTGCCCATTGCATTTAATCCTCTTCTTACAATGTTTTAATAAATTAACTTTTGCATTTTTTTTTTGCAGCTCTCATAACTTTGCTAAAAGATCCTGAAGCTAATGTTAGATGCAAGGCCGCTGAAGCGATGAGCCTACTGTACGACTACTAATTGATGGTAAGATCTATTAGTAGTACCAAACTTAAGTCCTACACTTGGACTTCTGCTGCTGTTCTTTAGGAAGCTGACTTCTTCAAAGTATGGAATTGATGGCAAAAATTAAATGGGGGTACAATGGAAGAAACAATTAGAATTTAATAATTATATGAAAATACCGTCTGTTGCATGGCTAGTGATCTCTATACTGTAGCTAGAAAAAACGACATTGCCTAACGTTTGTTCACACCGCTGGCTGAAAGTGCACAAGCTTTACTTTTGATAACTCATTGCCTAAAAGAAAAGGCTTTAATTAACGCTCTTTCCATGCGCACTTACATCTTAAACCGCACAGTTAATTTTTGAAAAAACCGAATGAAAACGATTTAGTTTTCCGCTCATTTTAGGAAGCATTTATTGCGGTAAAAATTTGTAACGTCTAAAATTTGTAACGTCGAAATTGCGTAAGTGCATGGAAAGCAGCCTTAAGTTGATCGGTGAGTTACCGGAAGTCGTGAGGTAATTTGAGCAAACGTCGCCTACAGTCTTCAAAGTAAATATACAAAGAGATCATATATCAGCATATAATCCTCGTAACCAGAGATTTGACAAAGAGTGTTAGCTATACATTCTCACGTCGTTCTTCCTGGCGATGCATCTCTCCAACAGCAATGGTACAAACAATGCCTCATAGATCACCAAGCGATAATAGAGGTTGGGAAATTGAATGATTAGCGATAAATTTGCTGGAATCTTTGAAGAATACCAGCAAACAATCATTGTTTGGTGCATATGTATGCATCGCATGAAACAAAATTGACGAAAAAGCGACTACAAAATATAATTCTTACGTTTATGCAATTATTGTTTATTAATATGCATTACTAATGCAATCCCGATTTTGATTGGCTAAAAAACCTTCAGATAATTCTCAATGTCCTGCCACAATTATCCGTAGGTTACGTATTTTTTTGCCGCTAGTTTGTTGTCAATAATGGCGCAGGCTTCCTCTCTAAAAAGGAAACACATAGTAAAACAATTATTGAATTCGGTCTCAGCTTCGCTTCGGTGAATAACGAAACTTCGGCTTGACAATTCTCGATATCACACTCAACCTCATCCGATAATTGTTAAATATATGCAATATATGCATAATGATTGTGTGACGAAAATGGAGCCCCAATTTAATTTTGCTCGGTAGGTAGCTTAAATGTTTGTTCCATTTTTTTTTATTTCTGCTCTCATCCTTTAAATCCTTACTAAACTTAATTATTCACAATATCATAGAGAAGTGTGAAATTATTTAAATGTTTAGTATAATATTGTATAATGACCGTAAGCTTGTCTTGATGAAATCTGTGTTTGGGTGTGACTAAGCATGATAACCTCCACGAAATTTCATGTCATGTAATCGGTAGCAATATATTTCGTTGAGTGGGATTTTAAAACTAGCAGACTGAAATTCTTCCCGCTCCTGTAAAATATAGGAAAGAATTACCAAAACCGACCTCCCCCCAAACCAACAGATTCAAGGCCCGGTTGATCAGCGTGATATCGCGTCAATGTTAAAATGTTTGGGGTTTTTGCAGCGCCACATTGGTTTGGTGATTTTCTTTAGGGCGGTGAACATACCGTTACATTGGATTGCTAGATTTGTGCAGCAGAGGCGTATGGCCTGTATGAATGCGCTACAGTGTTTTCAAATGTGCAATTACTTATAATACGTCTCAGCTGGGCTTGGAACGAAAATTTAACTTGTCAGTCGAAGCGTGTGAGGCTTTAAGATAGCTTCCTAATATCTTCAATTCTGAATTTAGCGTGCAATATCTATAATTCACGAAAAATACAGACTTACACAGTTTAATAAAAAAAAAATTACATAAGTATAAACTAATTTAGGTAAATTAATTTGAATCGACACAAAATCTTGTAAACCATGAAATTATATAAACTCTGATCGAATGGAAATAAATTAATGCGATCACAACAATTTTTTAATCATCTAGTTGTATTCAATACATTAATACTTTATGTATATCTTGCGTATATTACACATCGGTCATGCATATGCATTTGTTGGTAATAGTAAGGGTATGCGCGGTTTGATAATCTTGAGTCATACTACATTTGTGTCAACGAATATAAATTGTTTTATTGCATGCATTGGTAGTTCATTTTTAATTATAGCTGAGGCAACATCTTTCGAAAAAAACTGTGTTCATATAGTGATAACAAATGCTCTTTGCATATCCCGCGGGTCCAGGAATCGTCTTAACGCAGATATATCGCTCCACCTGGGTTGGATACACCTTTCTTGTGGCCACCGCAGTTGTCGCAAAAATTATGTGTTGGACACCAACGATTTGTTTGACCGTCAAAGAAATAGAAATACTTATTAAACGTTGGACCCGGAGATATCCAGTAGATTTGCGATGGTGGATTGTGACATCTTGGCGCTACGTGTTTTATATTTTGACATCTCATTGATCCGTCCTGCTTTGTTACCAGGCTTCCTCCATTCGGCTGGCAAACGATCCAGTCATTAATGTTTGATTTGATCAATATTTCATTCCCAATGTATTTCCAAAGATTGTAATCAACAGCGCCTCGTGTAGTTTCCCTGAGTGGAGGGGTGGTTGAAATTGGAACATCAGCTGTTGGAGCATACCAGTTTGGACGAAGGGTGACGGCGTTGCTTCCTGAACTGAAGCTGTTGTAGTTGGTGAAAGTGTAACTGTAAACCAGAGTCCAACCACCCCGATGTGTTGCCATATCGCAGTAGACTTTGAATAGTGGTGAACCGGGATACGGCCAAATCCAGTACACTCCTGAGCCTGCGGATGGTCGCATTCTTTTGATATCAGAACACGACTTTCCTCCAACACCTGACTTTAAATGTTGAATATCTTAATAAAGGAAAAAATAGCGTCCGCGTTTTAAACATTAAAATGGAACGGTTGACAATTCATTCATTAATTATCCATCTTCTGTAATCACTGTCAAATTATTCAATTTGATTGGTTTACAGGAGTGCGATTAATCATTAATCGCACTCTTGGTGAGCTGTAATCGCACTCTTGTTCACAGCCAATGAAATTCAGCATAGCTTTACAAGTAGCCAATCAGCATTCAGGATACAAAATAAGAATTTGTTTTCTTTTGGGGCGCGAAATTTTTAAAAATGGAGGAATTTGACAATGATTTTGAAAATTTTGACCTTTTAAATGATATATTTGCTGAAGAAAATGACCAGAATTTTTGATTACAGAAGATGGATAATTAATAAGTAATAGAACGAATTAAGTCGTGCAATTAATGCCAAATCATACTCGTGCTTAACAAATCAACCTCCCGCTGCGCGGTCGGTTGATTTTGTAATCACTCGTATGATTTTGGCATTAATTGCACCCCTATTCGTTCTATTACCATTATAAATTTTAAGCGGGCTATAAATCTATGCATGGAATGAACGAAGTTATTGCATATGAACAACCAAAGCCGCAAAGTCAGAGGTTGATATTCAGACTGAATTCCTGGCACAGGTGCCCAAAGTTCGTTCTTTGGCACCGTTCCTAATTTCATTTGGAAGCGTCGTGCTTAACCTGGGCACCAGATAAATGCATATATGACAGACAATCTCAACGCGCTCGAAGCCCCTCCTATATAAAGTTACAATACAAACCAATGACAATACAAACCAAGTTTTTTTTTCTAGATCGCTTACTTTCCCATATCAGAGCACGACTTTTATTTTTAGTCAGTGAATTTAGCATTGAATTGAAAAAGTGTAGCAAATAATGTCAAAATTCAATATAAATATAAATTAGGTTTGCGATACTTTTGGTAACAAATTCCGGACGCGTTACAAAAGTGTACAATTGCATGCATATTAAACGAAACTGTATTTCCCGTACAGTAAGATTTCGCGATGAAACTTTGCCATACATATAACTTTATATAGTGCAACGCGCGGGTTATCGTTATGCACTGGGCTCAAACGCATTGTCGTCATATTATGCCGTTTGTGCGCGGTTCGTGCGCGACGACATGACGACAGTACCAACGCGCGGCACAAACTATCTTACCAGCTTTTAAGGAACGAGTTTCATTTCTGAATTCCATTTTCAGTTGATTTATTTCTGTCGAAAATATATAAAATAATTTAATTACTGTACCACTAAGTAGTGTAAGCCTCTATTTTTATAAGCTATTTAGCTTAGCCGATTATTATATGTATAGGGGATTGTGTGGTACCACAACAACAATATGAATTTGAAGACCTACTAGTTTGAATAATACAAGCGGTTATAGGAGCACACCTCAAAGGAGAATTGAAATGAATGTCGTATATGACGCTTTCCAGAGAGTGAATGGGCTACAAGATGCCGTGCCAGGTAGACTAAAAGCGCGGGTAAAGCCCCTTCTGTACGCCCTATCTACCGGAGCCCGCGCACGATACCCCGACTTGTTTCTAAATAATGTCAAGAAAGGGACAACATAGGCTAAATAGCGAGTTGACAAGTACTTAATATATAGAAACAGATTTTAAGGCTTGGTAATTTTTCTGATGGGCATTTTTAATGATTACACAATTGATTCAAATCGAGGAGGATATATATATATATATATATATATATATATATATATATATATATATATATATAAAAAAAATATATATATATATATATATATATAAATGTATATATGGAAAAATGTTAACCGTGATCAATAGGTGAGGAAAAAATTATTGAGAGCTATCAATGATACGTAATTAAACAGTACGTAGATAAAAGAAAGTAAACTGTACCTATATATTACAGAATGGAATGATGGCTTGTACATGTTTTGCTCTTTCACGGTATTAATATTAGCTATAAAGAAATTTTTTCATACCGTTTTTTAGGACTCCAGCCTCTTGTCTAACAAATTTCAGTTCTGAAAAATCACGAATATAATTTAAAAATGAATTTGCTTGTTCATGTTTACTCTTTCACACTATTAATATATAAACAAACTCTCATACCATTCTTTAGGACTTCAGTCCCCTGTCTAACCAATTTCAGTTCTAAAAAATCGCGAAGAAATGCTTATCCATGCATGTAAGATATACACCCTGATATATGGTGTGTTGTATATATATATATATATATATATATATATATATATATATATATATATATATATATATACGATATATATTCAAATTCGTACGATGTTGGGCATTTAAACAACGCATTGCTTACTTCCTTAATTAACTTCCTTGTACAATGACTAAAGTCCGTTTTCCACTAGGCGAATTTATTCGCGGCGAATTCTTTCGCAAACCAATCACATTTCAGATAACGCTTTGCGTCGCGTGAATAAATTTCCCTAGGGGAAAGACTTGAAGAGCGTGAGGACTGTAATTACGATAAGGTTCTTACATCTGTCACTGGTTTATTCTCTAAAGTTTGAAAATATTTTAAAAGCATTTGTATTGGAAAGCTTATCAGCAAACTTCTACACGGGAACTTAATTAATGTTTAGGTGTATATATAAATAAACTCAAACCTGAGGTTAATTGCTTTTTATCTTTACTCAGTTGTCGAGAGAGATTTTTTTCCTAAGAAAGGAACAGTTAACACATTTATCCTACATAGCTACCCAATATCATTGGTACATTCTTTAGGTATATACAGTGATATTACGTACCACAATCTCCCTCCCAAGAACATCCCATCCATCACCGTTAGCCACATACAGCTTTTTGTCGTCATTACGATAAGATAATAACCCTTGCACATTAGGAAGGTTTTCGAGTTCTTCACTATTCTCAACGTCCACAATCTATAAAAACAATCATATATTTTGGCCACCAATAGTAGTACAAAAATTATCTATTATGCACACTATATAGGTAAGATCCAGTTTTCGCATGTCCGTGATAGCTATAAGCAAAACAGTTTCATCGTATAGTGATTATTATGCAGTGTCCTTTGTAACTTTCAAAGAATCAAGCCTGCACAGAAATTTAACAGTTTGATGTATACTTACACCGTCAATAAACTTCGGCACACTATTTTTAGAACAAGTGCCCTGTTAAGAAAAATATATACTAATGCATAATTCAAAAAAGATTAGAGGTTGAACTTAACATTAATAACAAAAATGTTACATAAGTAGAGAAGATTACGTGTGCTTTAAAATTTAACTAGACATGTAAAAAACACTTACTGCATGTGACGGAAAAGTACAGAAACTTGTTTTTTCGTAAGTTGCGATCGAAGTTTCATAATTTTTTTAAGGCCAGGCGGCCTGGTTCCCATTAAATCGTAGGCGTCGTGAACATGTCAAGGTGGCTGATGCAATATAGTACATTTCTATTTGTGTGCGACAATGAACGATCGATTTGAAAGCAGAAATAAATTAAAGACAAAATTAATTTACAACCGGACTATTTCTCATCAGTGAAAATGAAGGCGCTGTTGCACGATGCAACTTTCCTTGCAACTTGCACTGCAATTGTAATTTTGAGGGATTTTAATTTGTAAAGAGTGTTCAAAATGCACAGAAAACGTATCGAATGTAAGAAATGTTCGTATTTGTCAACTTTAGATGCCTCAGGAGTAGAATTGCATTGCAAGTTGCAAGGAAAGTTGCATAGTGTCTTGACTCGATCACGACAATTCGATTCAATGGAAAGCAGGCTTATAAGCTGGCTTTAGTATAGATTAAATGTAAATATCAGGAATTCGAGTATGGTTTATTGGTTTCATGCAAAATATCGAACGAATTTCATAACAACATGCACCTTAGGCTTAGAAAGTCGCTTCAGTTCATTATAATTGCCAATTGCTGTATTTAACAAACGTAACAACGTAATGACCATACTGTTAAATATCTTCGCCTTCGGAGCTAGTCAATCAGAATATATCAAATTCTATAGAATGTGTTATTTCTGTTTACGGTATTTGCCTCATTTACCTTCTTCGCAACACCAGTCACTGGGTGAATAAAGTAAGTCTCATTATTCCCATCTTCCATTCGCATCTTGAACTCGGCGCATTTCTTCCAAACCGGTGAAGGTGGAATTGATGTTCTTATCCAAAACCAAACATAAGCAGCCTTAGTTACCCTGCCACCATTGATACTTTTACATCCAGGAGAGCAGTGATCACCAACACTGCCTTTAGGACCATAACAGAAACAACACTGATTAAAAAAATTTTTAGGGTGCATATCAGAATACTTTGTACATAATTGCTATCTTTCAACTTTTGTTAGCATAAAAAAAATTAATAGCGGGACACGAGATGCATTTGATTTAACAATTATTCGCCTCAGGCAGGGTCGGTGATAATCGCTGTATAAAATAATCGACGGATGGTTTTAGCATAATTACAATAGTGAATTTTTGAAAAAACGAATTTGTGGTAGAAAATATATATGGTTGATAATCCGAGGTCGCTCGACCAATACGAGGCCAGAATTTTCAATAATCACCTTTGTAATTATACTAATAAATTAACGACCCGAGCTTTAGCGTGTATATAGTGTGCTGTGCTGTACACTACCTTTTCGTTATCACAACCAACAAACGCTGTAGAATTGTGCTGAATTCCAGATCGTGGAAAAGACGTACTGAAACTGCATAATTGTAATTAGATAGTTAAAGCCCCGTATCAAATGCTTTCCGCAGTTGCATAAGCATGTTTGCATGTTGCTTACCCGAATCCTCCATACTTATCATATCGTAGGTTTATTCCAGAAATTACAGCATATCCAGAACTGCATGGGGTTTTCAAGCAATAATTCATCATTTGCTGCATAAGGATATACGATGACGTTTTAATTGCTACTTTACTGGTCTTTTATTTATTTCCTGCTTATGTCTCATCTTTCTGTGGTTTATGAAAATAATCAGATATTTATTGACAAATTAAAAATATAAAAGCTCGTTGACTGATCGCGGCTAAATCTTTCAGCAAAATTTTTTAAATTTGTCAGCTTGCATAAAAATTCAATATAAATAAACTGAGGAGCGTAACGTTTGAAGACGGCTGCTCAATTGATTTAGAGTTTGACAAGTAGTACGTGCCCATGTATAGACCATGTTATGCATTTGCAGGGATTTTTTCTTACCATTCATGTATTGAAGTCTAGTTTGTATTCTGCCCTTATCTATAGTAAGTCACTTAAAATAACAACAACGGTTTCGACTTAAAACACCGATCTTAACTAGGGCAAAGTTAGCAAATTTTTGGGTTAGGATGGTATTATTATTAATATGAACTATAAGAGTAGCCATACCCATCCCAGTCCTGCAGGGTACGCTGGTCCAAATCTTGAGCACTGAAAATTTCTCGTAACAACCTTTCCAACCAATAAATCTTTTACAAACGCAACATGTCCGATGCCAGGGAAATGATTTCTACAGCCGCTTCCACTCTCGCTGACAAACAGCTTCGTAAATGGACGTGGATTTGTGAAATGATAGAGCCTGCAAAAAATATAACTCTGCATAGAACAAGACAGATTTTTTGTAAAAGGCTATTTTGTAAAAGAGGACAAACTGTATCGTTACAGCCAGTGTCAATGATTTTCTATACCAATCAGCTTTGACGTCTTTTGGGTCGTTAGTTGTTGAAACTTGAACTCGGAATTCAATCATGGGTACGTCACCAAAATCACTTGACCAATGTGGTGGCCCATTCGGTGTAACTATCTGTGAGTTAGACGGTACAGTCCAAGAAATAGGGCTGTTTTTGTTGCCAACTAACATAAAACCCCCTTTGTCTGTTTTAACATCGCACCACACCTACAATTGAAGAAGGTAACCGTGGAGTTATAAAAGTTTGCACTAAAATATCACAAAAATAAAAAACGGGGGTGGGTGAACTTGTTTTCGAGTGAAATCCGTGAATAGGAAGAATGTCGGCTAGGGATGCACCGGATTTGAAATTTTCAAGGACCAGATTTACCGGATTTGGACAAAAATTCCGACCATATTGAATCGCTATTGTTATCGTGACAACAGTATAATGACGTCATATCTATAGACAATTTCTGATTGTTTTAAAATTGTATAGAGCCACCTTAAATCTATCAAATATATAATAAGCGCCAAATGAATAATAGAACGAATAGGAGTTCAATTAAAAAAATCATTCGAGTGGTTATAAAATCATCCGACCGCGTAGCGGGGGGTTGATATATTAACCACGAGTATCATTTCGCACTATTTCACATCTATCATATATGTGACTGTACGTATATGCATATAACGACAGTGAGAAGGGTTTTAAGGCAGCGCATACCTTTAATGTCGTATTCAAACCAAGACCATTAATCCAGTAAGAACCCGTTTTTGCACTGCGTCTTCGTCGCACAATATCCGTGCAATCTTTACCGGGATTGTAAAATTCACCCACTGATGGATTATCTAGCAAATACATCTGTAAGTTGAGTAGCGGTTTTCCTTCATCCGGATCTCGCAGCCGGTAAACAACATAGTGTGTAATTCAATATATATTCAAGGTAATATTCGAATACAGCAGACGAGAGTATCGGCTGGATAAAACGTTACTCACGCGTGCTTGTTAACTCAGACGATAACTCACAGTGTGCAATAAGCTCTTATGAGATTTATGTCTCATGTAACCTTGTCTCACTTATCAAACGTGTTTGGTATTTTTTATGTTGAAAATTACACAGTTTGCCCTTATGCCAGATGCCGGCCCTGGCGGCCCATGCACATGTTCATATATCAAAGCCCTACTGTCCTTTGCATGTTTCTGAAGCAGGTCTTTCTTAGACTCGTGTTACATATATGTAATAGACATTGATTTTTTGAGTTGGTCATGGGGATATTATTGGGTCATGGGGGTATAGTTTTTACTTTTTATTACTTATCTTTGCTACGAAGTAATGAAATTTTGCACTTTTGCATGAATGAAGTCCGAAAGGTCATACTATTATTGTTATAAACATAATATAACCTGATCTTATCTATATCTATATGAATTCAGGATTCAAGACATGTTTAGCAAATAAGTTCTATATAGCGAAATCATGAAAGGTAGCTATATTTAATTTCCTTAGTTTTATTAATCGTTAAAGGGACTTAATAAACACGTAAACAAAAGATAAACTTACTGTCTAGCTCTTTCCAGTGGTACTTCCCGTCGTGTTTCAGACAAATCAATGCTCTTTCGTTTTCTTCCAAATCATTAACAACAACTGTTTTTCCTGAATTTTCTGCGATGCATCTCATACCTGGGTCTTCTTTGTTTACAGCAAACACCTTAATAAATTATTACGATGAAACAGCGGAAGCAAATGAAAAACGTATACGCGGTTTATCGGATGTAGATTCTTTTAGCTCTATATCTTGTCAAAATATTAATTCAGAAATAATCTAGGCTGTATATATGCATAATGCATGGTGTATACATGCAGTTAGCTTACCAAATTAGACCCTGTAAATATCAACAAAGATACTGAAATTAAAAGCATCATCGCTATTTTATCAAGTTCGAATAAACAAAATTTCTTCCACGACGCTCTGCTATGATTCCATATGATCTGATCAGCTGAAGGAAGAGTAAGCAGATATCTTTAAAAACACGTCAGTAACATTATACGCCTGACATATAGTGTTGACAGACATATACATTGTGATAACTACGCGTATATACAGATCAACCTCGAACCCAAGATCTTTTTACCTCCGCTGGGTATACGAGGATGTATACAGATGTGCCAGTGTTTGATTGCGCTCAAGAGTTCCCGAAAGCTAGAGTCATCTGCTGGGCTTACGCTGTTAAAAAATGTGTTGAAAATTTCTATTTGTACTATTAGTTTGTAGACGGCGCTGGGCCCCCATTTTTGCTTTGGAACATCAATACATGCATGCAGTGAAATTATTAAAAGAAGAAACCTTCGACTCAAGGTTGAAAATCTGTTCATGTAGAGCAGCTGGCCAGTACATTGCCATAATGCAGAATGAACGCAGGATATGGATTGAACTAACTTGCTGAAATATGACACTATTGCTTTATATGTTTCTTCTGGGTTGACTTGTTTATAGATAATTATTTAAATTGACCTTTAATATGGCGGCGGAGCGCCGTCGTGTTTGAGTCAGTTTGACATTTATGCGATTTAAAATCTATCTTCATGGATACGTTTGGACCTGGATTATATACATCGACATTCGTCGGCAGTGCTAAGAAGCTAAAGAGCTAGTGTGATGGTTTATCCCAATGATTCACCTCAACTCTCAACTCTGGTGTCGTACTCATAATACTACTATATACTACTATGTACTACATAATACTAATATACTCACTGTGTAAATTAATCAAAAATTTTGACAAATACACAAACAAATTTTAATCAGTATATTTTGATTCAAATCTTTGAATTAAATTTTCTTTTTAAAAAATTAAATTGAAATTAAATTTAATTAAATTTAAAAAGATTAAATTTAATTTGAATTTTTGATTTACACATTATTTCGGAATAACCTTTTTGTTTTATACTTACTGAAATTGTCAGCTGGAAATCGTTTCTGGGTACTAAATATATTATTAGTAATATTACTAAATTAAATTATTTTGGTTTACGGGAACGGAAATTTAAAAGGTAATTCACATTAAGTAACATTATAAGCACCGATATTTGAGTTTGAATATGATATGAAAGTTACGAAGCCAGTCTTCGTGGTGGGGAAGTTTTGTCATTTTTGGATTTTGCTGAAAATTTAATTATGTTTTCTTTTAACATGTCTCGACATCACACCTGGGGCCGGTTGTATGAAAGTCGGATAGCGCTATCAGTAAATCTTAAGTTCCTCAATCGAGGATCCTGTTTAATAATTGTTTCTTCCAAAGATAAAATTTTATCGCTTGTCGAGAATTTTTAGAACGGTTGAAAAAATTACTATCCGGTGGATAGTACTATCCAGCTTTCATACAATCTAATGAAATCGATGAAAGAGCATTTATACTGAGGCTAATTCAAATGATAGTGCGGTCGAAGGAAAAATTGTACCCTTGATGATAGCATATAAGCTCAAATCATTGTATGAAAAGAAAACCATTGAAAACCAAAAAGAAATCACCGTATAAAAAGTAAAAAAAATCGTAATTTCCTTTTCTGAGGATCCGAATTTACCGTGGAACTTCAACATCCGGTCCTTCTTTTGCAGGCTAATTCCCGCATTTTCTTTTTTTATTTTCGGCGTACAGTATGTTGAAAACTTGCACTTGTGTATATTTATTTGTTTGTGTCGGCTCTAATGTTCCAACAGTATATGCTATCAGGAAGGTCGGAGTGATAAAAGATTAGGGTCAAGACCAATTGGAAATTAAAGTAGCCGATAAAAAATGAATCTTACATAATCTTTTTCAAATGACGATATCGAACAGCAACAAACTCACACAATGTATTTTCACTGATGAAATCAGCGTCTACATGTTATGAACTACAAATTTTAAGACATACAAAGAGAGTAGATGAAAACAATTGTCATGTTCAAGGCATATCAACGCGCAGATCATTCCAGAAATTGCAAGCGTCGTTTGGTTCTCCAAAGACCTTCCAGTCGCGATCTGAGAAAATATCACGTGCCGAAGTCGATCTCAAAGCCTTGGGACACCAAACGTTCATCCCATCGCGAATGTTATCCAACATCATGTAATATTCCGCCAGCCTTTGGGCATATGAACGAACTTTTTTGTCATTGTGAAGGTGTTCTGGTCCTTTATACACCGCGGCATGTTCCCACTCCGCCCAAAGCGTCATGTAAGGAGTACCAACTTGGATTTCAGCTTCGGTTTCCAAACTGGAAACTTTTACCTTAAAAAATGAATGCATCATATGTGATTTAATTTGTAGAGTTAATTTTGGTAGAAAAATTTTGAGGATAAATTTATTCGAACCAAGTACTGACCAGGATGCTAACATTGGAAGAACTAAGTGTGGAAGAACGACAAAAGCGGTAAAATCAAACATGAAATTTTTTTCTTCAAATTCGGGCATGCTTCGGTATGAAGTATTTCTGCATTTGTATTGGCAGGCCTGAACTAATTTTAATTAAAATCTCAATGAAATCTTGTAAAGTCTAAAATGTTCCACAATTTCTATTAAAACAATCCCACTAAAATTTACTGAAACATAGTAATTTTCAAGACACGCCCTTGAATGCAATGCCTGCTCCAAAGTAGAACACGTAATCTTTAAACATGTACCACAAGCCTTATTATTTTATCCTTGCCCGATAGACTAAGAAATATCAAATATGTATACTGTATAGCTTATTCTATTAACCGAAGAACACACACCTTGAAATGAAGTCTACGATATCCAGATGGTTTCATAGGCCAATATTTTTTCTGTCGTTTATCATTACTGCCAACATCTGGGCCACATGTACCATAGCAACGAATCTCGGTCACTTTTTTATTATAGGAGCCGAGAAAAGCTCGTTTGAATGCACGGATATCACTAAGTGTCTGAAGAGTCACGCGTAGTCCTACGATATCTGTAATCTCACGTACATCAGTTATTTTGTCTCCATTCATTTTATTTACCAAGGAATGAAGTCCTTTTATCCTGCCTGTCAAAAAAATATTGCTAAATATTCTGGCCATAATCACCCTTCAGATTCTTGGAGAATTTCAAAAGAAAGTGGTTACGAGTTTGTGTGAACAAAAAAACGCTTATTAATTGCATGGCTAAAATTTGGCGATTTGAAATTTTTGACAAATGAGACCAACATAGAAATAAAAGCGGCATTCTACCTGTCACTATTCCCTGTATGCGCGCCTTTTTAAGAGTTCTTTCCAAAATTTTTTCAAGATTTCTTAAAACTTTTGGTAACTTCGAGAAGAAATCCTTCTCTTTTGCACAAAGTTCTTCTGGAGTGACCCCATTATTGGTGGCGAGTGTGCGTTTTCTCTCGAGGCATTCGGTGTCCACACCTCGTTTGTCATAACCGAGGTCTTCTTTCGACCAGTCGTAGCCCATTGGTCGGAACTCAGAAGATGGTCCCCCGTTGTCCTCGTCGGTATCTTCATACTTCGACAAAAAGTCATTATTCGATAAGTGTCGTAAAATATCTGTATGAATATTGAACATTGTGTTACGTAGTACACCCCGCATAGGAAATAGATAAGCTAGTGACATCTTCACACCTTAAATTCATCAAGTAAATATTGAAACCGGATAACTTGAGCCTAAGAGGGTTATAGCCCCCCCAGAAATAAATGTGGGGGGCTTAGCACCCCAAAATACATGAAGATTTTTCATACAGACAAGTGATAGAACATTAAATTAGAATGTAATCTTTAATTATTAGCAATGTATTTACTTAGTTATGTTTGCTCAGGGTACGTCCAACCGTCCAAGAGGTTATAAATGGACCAAGTTCGCAATTTTGGTTTACTTTGTTCAACAATTTTTTAGCGATTTTTTGACGGTTAGACATCGCGATGATTTCTTTATTTCAACGCCATCCTTCCCCCAGAAAAAAAAAAATGTTTCGTCTCGCGTGACCTGATCCCGAGGCGGAGTGTCTGTTTATACCTGGCAGGTCAAGGTGGTTGATGTGATAGAATATTTCTATGTGTGTGTAGTGAGTAATAACCGATTGCAGAAAAAATGGTCATTTCAATACTTGGTTAGCAAGCACGGAACTATATATTTAACTGGATTGACAACCGATAAATTTTCTTTCATTGAAAAATAAACCTGTCCCACGCGGAAAACATAAACCTAACCAGATGGTATTGTGGAGGTTCATTTTATAAAAGCATTTTATAATACTCAATCTATATATTCATAAGCTATGAATGATAAAGATACTTACCGCCAGTTTGTACTTCAAACGTTTTGGCACTAGCAGCGAAGGCGACCAACAACATCAAAACAGTTCCAAATGTTTTGGTCTTCATTTTTAACTGTGCAATGATGGAAAAGTTCACATACAAGGTCATGACTAACTGTAATAAATTGAGGGGACATTTCGACCACCAAAAGCAGCATTCTATTAAGTTGTAAGCTTGTCTCATGCTTATAGATGTCGAGGACAGGTTCAGATTGGCGAATCAGTTAAAAAATTGATCGCGAAGTGAACTTAGGTGGGGATTCCCGCCCCGTCCTTCCTGTAGCACCGCCCATGTTCATTTATGCATGTAATTAATGTAATTACGTTTGTATTCGTTGATAGAACTCTCGCATTTTGCACCCGGGACATACCACGGGTTTTATCTGTCTGGCAATCATAAATCTTCAGGGTCTCCTTATATGCAAATGTGCATGGATTAACGTAGTTTGTGTACATTTTCAAAGTTGATGTAGCTTTTCTTTGGGATTGTGAGGGAAAGCATGCTCCAAAAAGAAGAAATGAGACGCACATTTATACATTCGTATACACTACAATATGCAGTGATTGCACTATATGCGGCACCGCAGTGGTAATGTATATGGTGGTAATAATGCGGCACCGCAGTGGTAATAAATTATGCCTGCCATACTAATTCAGTTAAATATGGATTATTTGACCTTCATAGCCTATAGCGGTTTTTTAGGGACATCCTGTATTTAAAAGGTTATAAAGTCGTCAAAGAGCAGAAAAATATAATACAAATAAATAAATACAGGGATTGAACTGGCTGGCGCGAACACGCACTAACGATTGCATTACGAAACTGATCAAAAACAAAATAATGTAGACATATAGTTTACACTTTATAGCAAATGTTTGGATAGATTGTCATAGCTGATAGCTATTATATTGGTTGCCAACTAATTTTGGACCAATTGGGGCTTGATAACATACCTAAACACTGCATGTAGATAAAAAAGTTTAACAATGTAACATATGTGAATTTAGGACGTGCTCGAATAAAGTGACCAAAGAAATTTCACTTACTGATTTTTCCTCGTGGAAAAGCTTCTCAGTGTATAAGCTTGCTAGCGTTCTGCTCGAGTCGGTTACCTTTAGGGCATGATGCAAAATGATGAGATGCAGTCCTTTTATACCAACCGTTTGCAACTGAATATACTGAGAATCCGGTGAAGCAAAACGCATTATTATTCTGTCAGGTCCCTGTAAAGCTTCGCTGACCATTCATGCATTAGTTCCGCTTCAGACATCCCGGCACACGAAACTGTCTTGGCTTTGTTTCGAGACTAAGAAGCGGTTAATTTCCTGACCGAAATGGTCAGGGCTTAATTCATTCGCAAGTGCGTGTCCAGTATTGGATATGAGTGTGTGAAGTAGTGTAAAATTTACATTTTTATATTATGAAGACCTAACTGCATTATAAAACAATTATACCATGTGGTATAATTATCAATAATTTCAAACAAATAAATCGGCTGAAAACATCGGTAGCATCCCGTCACTATTCTGGAATACCTTGACCTCCTTAAGTAAATAATGACGAGAAAGAATATATAAAATTTTACTCAAATATTTGTATGGCTATTTTTAATGCGGACAGTAGATTTTAGATTAAAATTTCCATGGATCTGCATGCATGCATGGGGAGCCCAAACCTCAATGTTTTCAACCATGCAGGCCCTGGAACTTACTTACATTCGAAGTGTGTACATGCAGTAAAGGCGCTGAGACCAGCGGACGAGGTCGTGTACAATTTATTCCATCTATTTGTCACAATGTGGATAATGACAATCACAGCCCAAAATCTTAGTGGCCGATATCGCCTCACGAAACATTGAATACACTGAATAGACAGTGGAAAAATACAATCAAGATTCAAGCATAAGTGACCTATTGCACGTTGAAGCAACAGGGAGTAGTGCAACGAATGGGTGAGTCATGAGCTACTTTATGGTAGAAGCGAGGAGGTAGCTAGGCTCTAATCTAAACAGGTCCATACCAGACTTCCCTCATCAGGTCTCTAAGGCTCTGCATGATGTGCGCCTACTTCACGTGTTGGATCGTGTCTTCGCTTTGATGTCTTAAGTCCAATATCTATATTTATTTCTTATTAAGAGGAGATATTTTTCTATGTCGCGTAATATATGCTCAAAACCTCAGTTATATCTTCATGCAACACTAAAATTTTCATCATTAAAAATGTTTTGCAAACCTGAAAAGCATCCACAAAGTATGTTTACTGTATAATCTCAAAATATTGTGAAAATGAAAAGATTTCTCGGGATACGCCGAGAAGAAAATGACACTTGAATCGAAGCTTCTTTTGTATTCATTTCAGTTATAATGGCGTTGACATTATAACATTGTTGATAGCTGCCGCATTATATTTTGTAATAACTCCTTTGTTTGGTGTTTTGCATTCACCAAGTACAGTTCAAAACTTAGTTCACAACATAATCTAAAGAATAACGGTAAAATAAATGGATTTTGAGTGGTACGCCGAAAAGATTTTAGGTTTTGAGCGTTCTTCCGCCAAAATACGCGACATAATAAAAAAACTCATCTTAAGAGTTTAGAGCACAAGCTTGGTTGAAATAAAGAGCGTTTTCGTATAGTTTCTCTGGCATTGTGTAATGTTAATATTAACTTTCAGTTGCGACATGCCAGTGGCCGCAGAAATCTTGTTTCGAATTAACCTTAAAAAAATAAACCAAAACTGCATGGGAGTTTTTCCAAAATGTGCAATAGGGCAATGTTTAACATTCCTAACAATATAAATATAAATATAAATATGCGGCCTTGCCCTTGGATTTTTAATTAAAGAACATGTTCGATGTATTGTTGCTTGGTCATGCACTTGTCACACAAGCCGATATAACGTATTGTGTATTCTTTAGCGGCCCTTGATGAGAGAACATCGAATGATCACGGTCTAGCAAGTTTTTTATCCTTCTTTCTAGATCTTAACTTGGGCGGCATTTCCTTCATGAGCCGCACATACAGCTCCGTTTACGCTACACTCGATGTTTAGCACTGCACGGTTAAAATGCATGGGTACCCATGCCCGGCCTTCGTTTCGGTATAGCCTGAGCACTAATAAAATTGGGCACGTGGGTAGCCATTTTAGCCGTGCGGTGCCAAAAATTGAGTGTAGTGTAAACAGGGCAACAATTTCAATTATACATATAAGCGTGACGCTCTTTGTTTCAAATCAATTGAAATTTTTGTTTATAATTAACTTTGTTCCCCAATAGACAGTATTCGATGTAATTTAAGCTAGCAAGGAAACTTAAAGGAAAATTGTACACAACTTAAACCAAATGATGCATGCATGGTGACGCCTGAAACGAACATTGCTCTAACACTAGAAATATTCAAAATCCATACTATATGTAAATATGCTACACCCATACTGTTTCCATACTATATGGAAATGAATCTTATGATTGGCTGAGTGGAACTATTTATTAGCTGTCTCGGTTTGATTGTTCTGTTAATAATATTTTTAGCTTTAATCTAATAATATTGCACTGGTTCATACAGGTGATGTTTGTTCGGTTGTTTTTCTTGTACTAAAGTAGTTGTTGAAATGAAATGAAACACAGAATTTCCGCCTTCTTACAGCAAGAAAAACCGCTCCAAAATGGCAGGCGTGTAATTATATTCGGAGGAACTGTTGTGCATTTTTAGCAGTGTTCTTGTTATTCATATCATTGCTCATAATTATTTGTTCCTCTCTTATCATATAACAATCTAAACTATCCGGAGAATAACTCCGTGACCTTCATAAATTATTTCTTCTATATACAAATGTTAGAGTAATAGATTTAATGGTATCAAATAAACACTTTGATGAAAACAAAAAAAGATTTTTAACATCACCTACGTAGTTTATTCCGTTTCCTGCAAATTTTAATTATCATTACAGGAGATAACTTCAACTACGGCTAGCGTGTGCATTGTGCAAAGTTGCAAGCGATCGAACTGCAAAGCAATACCAGAGTACAATTGAAGCGGTGATTTTGCTCAGCCAAACAACTTCAGAGTCAAATTTATTTGCCATCAAGCCATTGTTCATTCAACACTTGCGTGTCCGGTCTCATTATGTTCCGATGTTTCTCTTTATGTTCCAATCCAATATATATATTGCTTACACAGTCAATCAACACCAAAATATAAACAAACATAGCGAGAAAGATCGTCTATTTGGTTAGGCCATTGTAGCCAGTCAATGTAATTCGACCAACGCAAACAGGTTCATAGCCATAGGCCCTGTTTACACTATACCACATTGGCATGCCGGTCACGACATCAAAAATAGCAATATCAAAGCGAGTTTTGCCATAAAAAAGTAAGGTAGCATGATTTCTTTAACGTGATCTGCCAAATGAAAAAGTTCTGAGGAAAGAGATGCCGTAAAACAACTTAAACTGATGCCGTGACCGTGTCCGGTATAGTGTAAACAGCTAGGGTCTCAATTATCTCAATGAGCCTCAACAATCCAGAATGACATTATTATTATATTTAACCAGGATACCCACATCACCTTATAGTGTTTTTCAGTGGGGTCCTGCATCATGAATAAATGCAAATTGTTTGCATCATCTACCCTTGCGAATGCTTCCCTTTTGGACACAAACAACCTTCAGGAAAAATCTTCAAAGCCGGCACTGGAACATTCAAATGCAATCAAATATATCGATCGTGCGGAGCATTTTTCATTCTGCAAACCCGCATTTAATGACCTATTATTGGAGAACACGGCCAATATTTCCAACACAGAAAGTTTTAAATATAAACTTTTATAAATTACAAATTTACAATATCTATGCGTACTCCAGATTTGTCACTGATCTGTATAATTAATAGTCTAGTAAATTATACAAAAACATGACTAGCTAGCATCTTTGTACAATGGAATTCTTGCTCAGTTGCACTGATTGCGCGATCTTTATCTTCGTTTGCCGTTATAGAGCAACAATTCATAACAAATGCTTATTGATTTTATAGATTTGGTATACTTATTCAGGTTTCGGACATTAAAGTCGCGTTTACACTACGTTGTTTGACCTGGCCTGGACTAGGCCTAGACTTTGGTGTGAACGTTGTTTATGTGGCCTAGACATGGCCTGGACCTGGTCTAGGCCACAAAATCCAGGCTAACAGAAGTGGCCTGAACCTGATATGGGCACGATTTTTGTAATGTGAATGGGTTTCAACTAGTCTTGAATTATCTTCAACTTAATACTATGATACATACTAGTATTACAACTTTTCGGCGAGTTTTGGGTCTTGTTGTCAATTGTGCTGGCTATCTGATATCATCAACAAGAAAGACAGCGTGAACGTTGCACAATTACCTAGACTTGTCCTAGACCTGGTCCATGCCAGATCTAGGCTTATAGTGTAAACGCGGCTTAAAAATCTCCACTGTCTTTTATTAACTTTGAAATTTGACCTGTTCCGATAGCATTCCGAGCTCCGACTAAGCCCGGCGTATACTGGAGGAAACAGGTGAGCTGAGCGTCACTCGTGACTGTTAGCTGAGCTGTTTCCTCAAGTGTGCGGTGTCGTATTCTGCGTTTCCTGACACGCGTGCTATCGGCGTCGGATATTTAACATGTTGAATAATTTTGTGCACGAGTAAACATTTTCTCCCAGTGTGCGCGCGTCCTGAGCTATCGGCTCGGCAGTTGGAGCGAATGATACTCGCCTAAAATTAATTAACAGCGGATTCAAACACATTTAAAGTTAAGATTACATTCATTACTTTTTAGCAGTCAACAAATCATTTAAGACTTAACGGCCGCGAAAAAATGAGTAAATGGGTCACTTAGGGCACCTTACCTCGTATAGACAGGGATAATCGGGCCAAAAATCCACTAATTTGTTTTCCAGTACTGATTCGGCAAATATTGAGGTATTTTGCGCCCATTTGGGTTGTGAAAATAATTCAAAATATCAAAAGAACACACGCGCACTCGCTTTAACTGCTGAGCCGATAGCTCAGGACGCGCGCACACTGTGGGGAAAGGTTCACTCGTGCACAAAATTATTCAACATGTTGAATATCCGACGCCGATAGCATGCGTGCCAGAAAACGCAGAATACGACACCGCACATTTGAGGAAACAGCTCAGCTAACAGTCACGAGTGACGCTCAGCTCAGCTCCTAATGCTCCAGGTGGTGCTTATCGCTACGGGCCGCTATCAAGCTCTGCTCTGGGCCCCAAAGAGCTCTGAGCCGGTCGTCTTGAAAGTAAAGGCGGATTTCCATTCAGTGCAAAATGTCATTTTTCTTTTATTGTGTTCTAACCTCATCTCTATAGGATTGCTTCCGCTTGAGTATCTGTAGCGTTCGAAAAAGCGATCGAAGCGCAAGAACTAAGAATGCGCCCTCGATCATGTAATCCAGTTATTCCAGCGGTAAAGTTGCAAATTTGCATATTTAAATTAGCTTAAAGTTGGTTGGATTCCTAGTCAATAATCACAAAACAGCCAGATTTTACCAGCTCGAAGAAAGCCCTTCGAATTCAGACTTTGTATAGTTGTATTTCATTAAGTATTTTCCATTTTGGATGTTTTTTAAAGTCGCTGTTTGATAGTGGATTTCCAGTCGGAAATAGATACCGACGAATGCATGTAGCTGAGTTTACTCTGGTTGCACGATTTCCTCAAAACAAAGGTAAATTCAATTAAAATTCTTTTAATTTTGAGGTTCAGCTAATCATATTAATTACAGGCAATTTGGAAAATGTAAAGACGGACTGATTTCACTGAATTTGCCATTTTTATTTCCAGTTTATATAAGTTTGTATTAAAAGTTTGTTGTCGTTCATTGGTGCATCCGCTGTACAATGGTGAGGCATCACAGGCTCACTGTCATGCATTAGATGCAAAGTAAGTCCATGAATTAAATGCCAGAAATTTTCAACATCATTTCGAACAAAATCATGGTATTTATCTCAGCATGAGATTTTTTTATTTTCAGGGGGGGTGCACGAAATAGAAAGCAAACAAACAAAAGTTCCGACAAAACCTTAGGAGGGTATGTGAGGTTTTTTTTGGATTTTCAAACTCAAAGGTAGGGGTAGGAGTAGAGGCCTAAGAACTAAGAAATATGATTATACCATTTGCAAATTTTCACGATGTTTAGATGTATTTAAATCAAAACCTATGCCCATGGAAAGGTTGAATAAAATTCCACCTTTACATTCGTGTGTCACCGCGATATGTAGCCGCAACAGAGCTGCCCGCTGAGTGAGATTAACAAGTGAATCGCATGCACTTAAATATGGTTTTCCCATAAGAATATATTGACAGTACCAGAAAAAAATTCTGTGGATTCGTATCCTAAAGGCTTATTATATCCCGGTACAGGGGATAATAATTTACCTGAGGTGTAACTAGGCTAATCTTTTGGTGTAAAAGTTTCCTGACATGAACTATTCGTATGACCCAGGCTAATTTTCCTCGAAAATAAAGAGGTAGTTCCTTTGAGCTTCATTTTGCTGCAACGACGCCTTTTCCAAAAGTAAGGCTTTTAGAAAAGTCATATTCGAGCATTTTTTCGAACATTCAAATGACGACATAAACGGTAGTTGACAAGTTACATAAAGTGTAAGTATAATTCGTATTATGATTATGTATGAAATACACTCCTAATGTATTATATCATTCAAGATCGTAGAGAAAAGCAAAAACGAACTAAGTGACTTGTTAGTCTAAGGCATGTCAACGCGCAGATCATTCCAGAAATTGCAGGCATCTTTAGGCTTTCCAAAAACCTTCCAGTCATCAGCTGAGAAAACATCACTCCCTGCTGTGGACTTCAGGGCTTCTGGACACTTAATAGTCATCCCATCGCGGATGTTATCTAACATCATGTAATATCCTGCCAGCTTCTGGGCATATGAACGAACTTTTTTTTCATTTTTGAGATTTTCCGGTCCTTTATATACTACAGCATGTTCCCACTCAGCCCAAAGCGTCATGTAAGGAGTGCCGACCTGGATTTCAGCTTCAGTTTCCAAACTGGAAACATTAACCTAAAAAGGCATAGAAAAAAAAGAAAGTTATAAAATTCAGAAACATAGTCCGCGAAAATTGCTCAGCAACCTAGCTGACGGAAGCGTGTTTTTGCCAGCTTCTGGGTGGATGCACAGGGAAGATATATTCTGTATTGATTCTCAAATTATGTACAATTATTTTTTAGTGGACTTTTTCTAAACTTTTTTATAAAAATCAAATCTTCAATTTCTAATTCATGGTGATTAAATCTAATTGCCCCATACACATTTCACGGCCACCTTACAACATTGAATATATACATATACAATTCGTACAGAGTATAAAAGACCGTATCATTACATGTCTTCGTACATAAAGTACTGGCATGGTTAGTTTTAAGCCGGGAGAAGGAATACCTTAAAATGAAGTCTACGATATCCAGATGTCCTCATTGGCCAATATCTTTTCTCTCGTTCGTCTTTACTGCCAACATTTGGACCGCAGGTACCATAGCAACGAATTTCGGTCACGCGTTCATCATTGCGGCGCAGAAAGGCTCGTTTGAATGCACGAATATCACTCATTGTCTGAAGAGTTACACGTAGTCCAACGATGTCCGTGATCTCACGTACATCAGTTACTTTATCTCCGTTCATTTTATTGACTAAGGAATGAAGTCCTTTTATCCTGCCTGTCAGAATAACAGTACTTAGTGTAAATTTCGAGGTGACAATTAAGTTTCCTGCATTCTGATTGATCCAGATTCACTGTCTCTGAAGTGATAGTCACTGGTCGGTGACTATAGCTTTTTGTTGTTTTTTCAAATAAGAAATTTGACGTATTTATAATTTTTTATAAAATTTTGTTTGTTATTATTTGTAAACACCTCGAAACTTATTATTTGTGCAATATAGGCTAGTAATCGCCTTGCCTTCGCCGACTAATTGTTAAATACTACCTGAAGAATTACCCTGATCTAGCTTTGCAGCGTTTTATGGGAATTGATATCCTATATATATAAGTGACCAACTATGAGCTGACTAACAGGTTTTAGCGACACAATTGACCAATCAATATCGAGAGTTTTGAAGTTATGTTAAGTGTGAATGGAACCAAAAATATTGTTAAGGGCTTTATACAACCCTCCACTGACGAAAGAGTCACCCGAAGTTCGTTTAAAAGGTGAAAATGCCTATGTTTTCATTAGAAGTCTGATTAAAATGCTATAAATATGTATTATTAGCTTAAAATACAATAGAATAGTAACTTCAAATAACATTTTGTAGTTTTATCATATCTACGTCTCAGCTAGCGTGAAGGTTGTAGTCATTAGGATAGATTGGCGTGATGTTGCAAATGCTGGGATATGTATAATTAAGACTGAGAAGGAACTTGATGACGTCATTGAAATATGATCAGTGCTTTGGAAGCCTTAGCGCCATGATATAAGATCTGGTTTTCGTCGGCGTGTTGCAAGGGGCTCCTTATATCTGTTGCGTTAATCACCTTGCGTTAATTAAGTCCGTGTTTATACTGTTAGTGTCATTAGTTGTAGGTTCTATCAACGATGTGAAATGTTGGAAGTGTTCACATGAGTTTATATGAGCGTAAATCTCTGAGTTTTCACGCGTACAATGTTCTTTAAGACGTGTGATAAGGCAGTGATCAGTTATACCAAGAATGTAAGCACTGTGGCAACCAGGGCAGGGTGTCTCTCTGTGTTGCAATCTGGGCCTTCTGTCTGTGTTGCAATCTGGGTGTTTTGTCTGTGTTGTTCAATTGTATCTTTTATAAAAATACTCAGTAGTTCCCGTAATTATTAGCTCAACTTGAAGTATTTTTTTATTAATTTTGATAAATTAGCCCATATTTTGCCAAACAAGATATGGCATATAAAGATAATGATAATAATTGGGGAGAAAAAGCGCGTTGGAGATCATCTGTTGTTACCTGTTACAACTCCTTGTAAATCTGCTTTTCTGAGGGTTCTTCTTAATTCCCTTTGAAGGTTTTTTAAAACTTTCGGTAATTTCCCAAAGAACTCCTTTTCCTTTGCACACAACTCTTCTGGAGTGACGTCCCTTTTGGCGAGCGAGCGTTTTCTTTCGAGGCATTCAGTGTCCACCCCTCGTTTGTCATAACCGAGGTCTTCTTTCGACCAGTCGTAGCCCATTGGTCGGAACTCAGAAGATGGTCCTCCGTTGTCCTCGTCGGTATCTTCATAATTCGTTGAGAAGTCGGTTGTGGATGCTGGTTAGAGACAGTTTTGGTTAATCATCATCATGCACAAACAGCTTATTATTCAAAGCGCTGGACTATTGGGGAAATTGTTGTATTGTTAATATATGCATGCCGTCAAGCGTTGCTAATGGTTCTAAGTCCATCATACGCACTTAGACAAGTTTAACACCGCAAGATAAAGAGGACAGCGATCAAAATTACCATTCATCTACCGCTTTGTACACATAACCTATTCAGAACGGACCTGGGTTGGAACTGATGCGAATGACAAGGCAATGCCAAAATCTTGAGCTATATTATACACATGCAGTTATGAGCATTGGCGCTAAATTGTGATATAAACTATGAGTACGTTTAGCTGTGTATACCTAACGTACTACCTATTTTAGGGCCAAGGGTGAAAATCCTGGAAAGGGTGGAGGGGGCATATTAAAACGTTTTGTTTGGAAAAGTATCAACACACGTTGGTCCACCCAGTTTATCCTCCCACTCTCCAAGACAGATTTGCGCGTTTGTATACGCCCAGTTTTGCAAGCAAAACCAAATGCAGGCCCTTACAACAAAGTAAGAAAATCGTAATTTGACCCACCTCTATCCCCGGCCGATTTGCCGTAAACGGTAAACAGCAACAGAAGTGCAAATGCGAATTCGCGAATCGTCATTTTAACTACATCGAATAAAGGAAACGTACTGACTAATGAGATTGAATATTAGGGTGTCCCTAAGGTTTTCTCCTTTGAGAATTTGCGTCTGTATAAACCGAACTGCAAAATACACATGTTCAGTCAATCTCAAGTCTACTGTTGTATGACACACGGTGGAGTGCACGGCCCACGGTTTTTTTTCTCATATGAAATAAACCGAACTTTTTACTTGTAAACTCGAGTTCCGTGCTTCGATAGTCACGTTAAATCACTGACTTAGACATATTATTGCGAAGTTTTAAATATTCCTCGGTTAAATTAATTCATCTAAATTCTCGAGCGAACGGGTGAATCAACTGCAAAGGGGTTCTTTTTGGGACATCCTGTATACATAGATCTAATTTCGTTTCAGAGCCCTGCCTTCCTAAAAGCACAAATGATTACAACCTTCAAATAAATGTATTGCGAGAAATACGCGTAAATGATACAGTAGAAAAATTTGCCATGTAGTAAATTTTGTATTAAGGAAGGCATTTGACATGCAGCTTTTAATTTTTGCAATTTTAAATTATTAATTTTTAACTATAATTTTATAACAGAAATAGCAGAGTAGTAAAACATATAATACTGAAACAAATTTACTCACTATTTTTCTCCGGCTATCTTGTGGTGTAGTGCTGTTGCTCCAGACTTCACAATATGATGGAAAGGGAGGAAGGCGCATGATTTTATATTGACCATGTGTAAATTAGGGAATTTGCGCAAAGTCAATATGTCAACAAACTATGCGTTCTGTTCATTTTCTTCCCACAAAGTCAGTTGGGTTGAACAAAGGTAGACGTTATGCCACTTGGTTTTACATGGCACTGACCCGCCTCCTTTTATGATTCATTTCACTATATCAATTCAGCATATCGGGAATTAGAAATTTGAGATGTTAGAGATCTTGAACACAAAAAAGCATACTGTTCGATCCGGTAATTAATCAAATTATCTAGAATTTGACGTAAATTAGACGCCGATTTTTTCACTGCATGTATAGTTAGCTTTAATTGAAACATGTATAGGTATGTTCTGTGTTCTTATCGGCCGTTTTCAGTCATAATTTTTGCCACGGCGAATTGTTTATTTTGATGTTTCTGACATCTGTCCAGCTTGCGCCATAGCTGTACATTCCTCCGACTCCCGGAATCCTGAATTAACGCATTTTTTAAGACTTACAATTTTTTCGATATATTTTATAGCAGTTATAACCATTTATCGATCAGCAATTACGTCGTAGGTAAGACTTAATTGACCTAATTAAGTTTTGCAGCATTGGCAATTCGGTGTATGCATGGTAACGTTGAAATCAAGTCGATTCTTGGTTTCCGAACGGGCGCCGGACGCTGTTTATAAATAAAGCTACGTATCGACCATATTTCAACGCGGAAATAACGTTGAAACAACATCGATTTTCCGTTGATCGACGTCGCGACACAATTTCAACCAAAATTCCACGTCGAGACGACGTCGTGTGCTCACTCAATTGTCACTTAGTATAAGGCTTTGCATTGCTATTGTGTTTATATATGACAGGAACACACAAAGCTAAGATGGCATTGAATGCGAAGTTGAGTGTTTTGGCTCAGAATCTGATCCTTGTCATCGCACACCTGACCCTATAGCTTTCCTAAGACGATCTTTCGCGTGGGGAAAAACCGCCTTTAAGCTTCCTTGTTAAAGAAATAATTTATAAGTTCGCATTTCAAATCAAGGTTGATTGTGGACTCATTCTGCTTCCCGAATTTATACCATCTCTATATTGTTAAAAACACCGACTTAAAGTAAAATTATCAATTTCTACAGAAAAAAGGCTTTTAGTGACAAAAGATGGAACTACATACGTCAGAAATCAACTACGTTCGATAAACTCTTGCATGCAAGACAGCTGAGTTAAAGTTTGCTTGGTCTGTTTATCGTCCCTTCTTCTTTGGCGTTGTGCGCCGCAGTGTCTGCTTTCTAAGGAGAACACACCGCGCTGTTTTCATTCATGCTCCATTAAATTGACATATACGTCAAAATTGCACGCAAGACGTTGGTTTCGTATACTCTATATTCCTCTAAGGGCGGTTTTCCACTACGCTGAACTCTTTGATCGAACATAGCGGATTCCCTTCACCGCGGTTACGATACACAATGGTTTATAAACCCTATGTCGTGAGCTTGCTGGGAAGATGGCGGAACATGCACATGCCTAATGCGACATGCGGGAACACATTCACATCAGAAGGCTCCGACTCACGCGGCTCTTCTAGTCCTCTCATTAATCTCAGACAAGGTCTTAATAACAATGATACTATGATATAAAGTCTACTTCTGTTTTTGTCCAACTCGATCAAAACTTGTCGTTACTGTTGTAGCATTGTTGTTACTGTCATATTGCAACTGACTATATCGAATAACTCGTTAGGAAGTACTCAATTTAGTTACCCTTTTAGCTCTTCGTTAATCAGCCTATCCCCATGCATGATAACATAGAAATAAACTCTTTTCTTCTTACCATGTTACCCGTTGTGTCTGCTTAATATTAGTGCTGAACGTTCATCATACAACTCCTTGTAATAATTATTTATCATTAATAATAATACTTAATTACCAAATTCCTTGCGGTAATTCTGCCAGTAATCCTTTTGACTTGGCATCCCGTTCCAAAAATGCTCCTTACCATTCAAATTCACAAGTAACATATTAGCCGTGCAAAAATAGTAAATCGGATCACCACGGAAGATGGAATTTCCAAAGTTCCGAATGTTGATTGTATTATAATTATTTAAATTTCCCACTATTTTCTTATTTCGAATAACGTCAATAACGCGTATGAGATCCGCGACTCCTATGATGATGCTATGCATGTTTTACAAGTTTAAAGCAAAAGAATTATCAATAAAACCTGGTTCCTAATCAATTTTATACCTGACTTAAAATGGGAGCAGCAACAAGTAACATTGCATTTCTGCTAAATCTGTACAGCTATAATTTTTGCTTATGGCTAGAAAACATCTAAAAATCAAGCATGACCATGTAGCTACTTTATAAAGAAAACGAAATTTTCTTGCTTGAAAAAATATTGGAGGGTAGGCACAACAATTAACACATATAAGTATTTTCCAAATATTATTCCATTTTCAACTAATCTCCTTGCCGCCTATTATGGCGTTTACTTGACGTCATAGCTTCCAGGGGAGGTCAACTACAAGTCGATACACCAGAATTTGAATGAGTTAATTATTTGTTCACTGCTAATATGTTGACATTGTGCTCATTTCTGTGATATTGTGCAGCATTAGCAACAAAACATTTTGGGATGAAAATTTAGAAAAGCATGTGATATTCTATAAATTATCGAGTTTTA